GTGTTCTCCACCAAAATGATTTTCGTTTATCTAGACGTGTCAAGTATGTAAGTTTGAGGTTAGTACATTAAAATGTTTATTACGATTTTATTTTTTTTATTTGAATTTAGTGATGACTGACAAAGCATATTTTGAAATTGTCCGAGATTTCAAAATTAATAATTTTACACAAGAAACACACGTTGCTCAGTCGTATACTTGTTCATATTTACTTATCGCAGTGTTTATAATGGAAAGCCATCAATTGACGCTTAATTTTAAAAAACTAGCTCAAAATAGAAAAGCTCAATTAATTTTAGACACCCTATATTGAAATTTTATAATGATTTTTTGAATTTTGAAATATTTTTCCATATAAACCATAACTCTGATAGACATGTAATATAAGATAGACGTTATGTATGTATTAAATACTCAAAAAGTTCTATTTGATTTCATAAAAAAACTTTTAATTAGATTTTAATTTGAAAAAAAATTAATTTTCAAATACCTCTTGATAAAATATCCACCGCATTGAAAATAGTTGAGGATTATTTTAATTACGTAATAATTTTAGAATTTAAATTAATTTTTGAAAAATATTTAAAAATTATAATTAAAATTGATTGAAAATTACTACCAATAGTTTTCAGTTCTTGTTAGTCATGAAAATAAATACATATTGTATTTTATTCTCTTATTATATTATATGTATATATTATTTTTATAATTAATCATAGTGGCTTGAATTGAACAGCTATATAATTAATTAATAATTGTTCATTAAAACATTAATTAATCTGATGCGGTTATAACGATAAATAAATATTATGTTGTGTTAATTATTCTTTCTAAATAAATTAGAAACATAATTATGTATGAACATTTAAGGTAAATAATTGTAACATCTAAGATGTGTAGCCCTATGCTTTTTTTCTATTAAAGGAAAACCTATTTGTTATATTTAGTTTATGTTTGTAATACAATCTGTAATTTTTAAAATTATTTACAGAAATACACTTTAATTGAAGCATATAAGTTACAATTATGCCATTATCACAATCAAATTTCTAAATATTCTGCTAAAATTAATTAAGGTAGACAAAGTTTTTCAATTTAATTTCTCTTTCAAATTTATTATGTCAATCATACTTTTAATATATACATGCATATATGCATATTCAATTAACAATTTATTTTTTAAAATTCCGTATTGAGAAGACTATATAAGAAAGTATCCTTAAACTATAAAAGCAATCGAGAGTATAATGAAATTGTCAAAATATTATTTGAAAGACATAAAATGCCAGTTGGGAAATGAAAATTTTTATTCTAAAACGTCAATTCAAATATGTACTAGCTGTTTCCACATTTTCGCATTGATTGCTTTTGCAGTTGTCTTGATGTCAGGAAAGTTTATTGATTATGATGCGGGTTATGTTTATATAAACAAAGCGAAATATTTTTGGCTTTTTATTTTAAAAATAAACATTTAGCATACAATACTGACGTTTCTACATTAACTACAACAAAGAAGTTTCTTTTCAATAATTGCACCAAAAGTCAAAAACATTTAAAGATATAAAAATCTAAATGATAAAGAATATTATGATAAAAGTCATTATAAAAAATAATTGTGCAATATTGGATGAAGTTTGATTTTTTAAATTTTCAAAATCAAAAGAGCAATTTCTTAAAAATTTTGCAAGATAAGTTTGATTTAGATAAATACTTAGAATAATAGTGCACGTGATGATTTTAACATCACTATTACCACGTGAAAGATAACCATCACACCAACGATCACTTCTTCAAAGAATAAGGGCTTAGTTCCATTATCACATATTGAATAGGTCCATATTTTCCGACACTTATACCAAATTATTGTCTTGTATTTTAAAATTTTTATATTAATCATTATGTTTCAACAAAAATTTTATCATCTTTTAGAGAAGAAATCTAAAATTGAAATCTATTGGTACTGAAACTTATTGGAACAACTATATATGTATATTTTTTTAAAATAGCATGTGTGGATTTAATAAATATTAAATTAATTTTAATTTGATGACAATTAAAAGTTCACTACACCTAATGAAAGATTAAAAAAGAGATTGAAATTTTTTAAGAAAGATTTATGAAATTTTTTTTTCCTTCATTCAAATAAAATCAATTGGCATAGTTGCCTCATTTGTTAATTAATTGAAATTTTTTTTTTAAACAAATCGAGAGATAAATGAAAATATTTTTATGAGTTTTCTGAACTTGAGTGACACTGAGTCAATTATGTTTTCTTGTCAAATTTTATTACGTTGACGGCACAACAGTATAACGTCATTATTTATTTTCCACTGTCTAAAAAGTCAAAGCTTTTAATCAAGCATAGTCAACATTATTGTTTTAGATGACTGCGCTTAATTTTTATGATGACGAATTTTTTTGTTTAAAAGCTGCTTTCAGAGCACATTTTCTCTTCTAATTTACTCTAATCTCAAAAAATTTTGTAAAGCTACTCTAACCACAAAAAAATATTTTTCACTTAGAAAAGTTTTTATTTTCGATTCTTATTTCATATGTAACTTTGTCATTAATCAATTTTTGATAAAATAGAATTTAAGTAGACAGTCAGACAAAATAAGTAAACGAAACTAAAATTAAAATGAATTTTTTAGATAGAATTTCATTTTTGAGATAAAATGCAAAGTATTTTTGTATGTGATTACTATACCAGTCTTATGATTATATACACACAAAATTATCGGAACAATACGGGTTTTAAGTACATTTAATAACAAAGAAATAAAATTTAAACCGAGGACTGAGGAAGCAAAACAAAAAAATAAAAAGTAAAAAAAAAACAAAAATTAATAAGTTTCTTTTTTTTCCAGCGTAACACATAATTCTGACAAATTAAATTAAAAATTTAAAGAGCCCATTAAAAAAAATGTGAGTGGGTGGTTAAAATTTATATAAGAGATCGGAGCTATACCATAATACTTGTTATATTTAAAATGCTATTAAACTGTAAATAAAAAAGAAAAAAAAATTAAACAGCAAGATGTATAAAGAGAATCCAATCCAACTTTTTATTTCAGAAAATGAAGAAAAGGAAACAAAAAGTAAATAAATAATTAAATAATTTCTTTTGAAATTAATTATGAAAGAGTTAAATTTTTCCCACATAAAAATTTCATAAAATTTAAACAGAGACCTACTTTAAATTAAAGAACAATAACATTTTACTGTTGTCGCAGTATTTGAAATTGTATTCAATATAAAAACAATTCAAGTGTTAAGGACATTACTATTATTGTATATACATAAGTTTGTATTGAATCCAATAATTTTACAAAATATGAGCATTTCTTTATAAACTTTTAAGTTGTTGTATTATTTACATTGGTTATTATAAAAATGTATATACACTGTAAAAAATTTTCATTTCAAATTACTACAAAATTAAGAAAAAATTTTAATATCTGAATGCATAAAAGCAACACAAATTGCTATGAAAGTGTTCTACTCAGCAAAAGAGTATAGCTCCATTGAAATAAATTTCACTCTTAATTTAAGCATGCCTCATTTTCATTTGAAATATAGGTACTTTCTTGATATTAACATATTCTTTTTAATTACATTCGAATAAAATCACTAGTAGTTCTCAATTTTCCTTGATATTCAGTTTGTCATTATCTTCTTATTCTAATAAACTATGAAAATTCTATTAAAATAAAGTAAAATTTACTCTAATATACTAGAAATACTATTTAGTATGAAATAAAAAATCCCTGATATTTAATCCGCAATTTTATTTATTTGTAACAATTTCCTTTCCATTTTTCATTGTGTGCACTTATATACGAGTAGTATGAAAATATTTAAAAAGAAAAATTAAAATATAAATTTTATTCAAGTTTTTCATTTCTCTTTTTAAGTAAACTACTAATTTGAATTTTAATAAGATAATAATTAAAAAACTCCTTAAAATTAATGTTTTAAAGAATTAAACAAGTCTGCCAGCTACCTATATAGAAATCTAATTTAAAAAATATTTTTTAATATACTTTCTTCTTATATATATTTTTTATTTCTTTGGAATAGCGTGCAAAAATTCAAAATTTAATTAGAAATTTTATTCTTGATCGTATTAAGTATGATGCTTTCATTGAAATTCTATCATTCTAGCACGCAAATTTTTTTTTAATTATATTTTATATTATTTATATTTGGATTATAAGAAAATAATAAATGTTATTAACTTATTTTGTATAGTTAAACTTAAATAATGATGTCGTTATACATTAGAAACCTGTGCTTATATATAATCGCTATATATATAACAATATTTTAGAATGTTAATTCAAGCAATAAAACAATTTATCTATGCATGTGAAGAGATTTTTTGCCAACTCTAACAGAAAATATTAATTAACAAGCAGTATTTTTTTTGTGATATAAAAAAATTAATGTTAAATAAGAAATACTAAAAATGCTATTATTTTAGTTTTTATATAGTTAAAATTGCAATTTGAAATTAATGGTAACGATACTTAAATTAGATTATAAAACTTAAATGATAATAGCTATTAACGATTAAATTTTTTGTTTGTAAACTGAAATTTTATTAGTACAATAAATATAAGGAAAATTACTTAATAGTATAGCATTCATTTTCACTAAATTAAGAAATAAAAGTGTTGAAAATTGGAATTAATTTAATTCTTGGCTATAATTTTAATTTATCAGTTTTATGAAAATCTTATTCTGTTTCAAAAAGTGCAATATTTATAAAATTATATTTATATTGTAATTTATAATTATATTATAAAAAAAGAACAGATAATTATTAAGTTTAGCTTTATAGCTTTAAAACTTATGATTTGCACAAAAAATATTCTTAGCATTTCTGTAAGAAAATATTTTCCCTCTATATTTATACCAAAGGTTTCTTTTTACATGTTACTATACTAAAAATTAAATTTAATAAATGAAATTAATTATTTTTTTTTTATTTCTTACAGGTAATTACCATATTTTTGAGCTTTAATTGGACGTTTAAATCACCTCATTTAAAATTCGTTCTTTTGGTAAGTTTTTGATTTTTAATTAAAAATCATTTTTTCTATTTTAAAATAATTATATAAATTAAAAATATAATATGAAGTAAATTATTGGACTCTACCGAAATTGACAGAAATGTGGAATGAAAAAATTCCATTTTTTATTAGAATTATAAAAAAATTATTAAAAAATCTACTTTTAAGGGAATTTATTATAAGATAATAAGATCCCATTAGAGCCAGGAAAAATTGATTTAAATGACAACATAGAGAAATTTTTTTGTGACAACGCAACACTTACATGATTTAGTATACCACCTATGATTGACTTAAGGACTATGTAATAATTCCTTTGCATATACGAGTATACGAGTAGTTTTTAAACTAAATCTAATAAGATGTGGTAATGTTTACTTCATAATTTCTACATACACGGTCATAATTTCTATGTTTCTTAAATGTTATCGAATAACGTTTTTACGTCAAAATATAGCAATGGCTTTAATTTTAATTGAAAAACTATTTCGAAAGCTATCGATTTTCATAGATATGATCGACTTAAATCATTATAGTAAAGTGCGTACCTCGAAACTGAATTTTTATAATGATATCGTTTGGCTTTCAATTTTCTAATACATTAACTTGTATTTTCATTTTATTAAAAATTAAAAAATCTTAAAAATTAGTTCGAATACGTTTAAAGTAAAGTAAATGGAACTTTATTTAAATATTCGCCTAAGAGTTATTGTACAAAATGTTTTTGCTTCAAACTTTTAATATGGAAATTTAAATTTATGGAGCAAGAACCTACATACATGTAAAATAATAAGTACTTAAAAACCAAATATCCACAATCATTTTTAATTCAAGACTTTATAAAATCATTTAAAATTCTTTTACCATAAATTCTATATTACTCAAAACACACTTGTATCGTGTAACCTTAATAAAATTTTCAATAAAAGTTAGAAAAAATAACAAAACAATTAACTTTTTTTTCGCTTTTCTTATTTTGTTTACATTTTATTAAGAAGAAAAATAAAACTTTTTAATTGATAATTGACCAACTATTTCAATGAATCCAATTACATGCCGCATATTTTTTCTTTATAAATAATAACAAAAACTGCATAATGATAAAAGAATAAAGACCAACATTACAAGCAAGTTTTACTTCTTTGTTTTTCCCCACGTCTCAATTTTCTTCTTTTATTTACTTTTTACATTATTCTTTATAAGAACATGCCCCATACATGTACATTTCCAATTCTATCTTATGGATAGTATTTTACAAGGCTCTTTTTTTATTCTATATGAAGAAAATATGAAATAAGTTGGTTGACCGAATTTTGTTCCGCTCCCCCCACAATACAACAAAAACTTACCTAAATTAATGTAATAAAATTGCTACTAATGCATAAAATATGTTAAGAAAAAAAAATAATAATTGCATTTACTATCATTTAGAAAATGTGTATGTTTTTTATTTTGAAATTGTCATTCTGATGACATAAAATTATAAAAGATTCGATTATGATTTGATTAAAAGAAAATTACTATGATGTGGGAGTAAGCAAAAATACATAAATATAGTTGAAAATTTTATGCTGGGCAACATTGAAGCATATAAATCAAAAAAAAAATATCATTATCTTTTTGCTAACTTTTGGTAAAGTGTAAAAACGAAACTAAAGTCACAAGGAAGCTGTGACAAGGAAGCTTGACGGGAGGATATCGATAATTGGGATTCTAAAGGAACACTGCCTGATTCCAGGAGGATCGGCCGCTCCGCAAACTATTTTCTAAAAACTGTCATGGCGAGGAAAAGGAAGAAACCGTGACACACCTACAATGCTACCTTCTTTTAATTACAGATTTAGTAATTATGTAAATGCTAGGCATCTTAGTCGGTTCTTGAGGAATTCGGACTGCTTCTGCTGATGTCTCGCACAGAAGACGTATAGAATCTTCAAATAGTTTATGTTATTGGCTGTATAACAAGTTATCTGAAAGTAGCTCAGTAATTAACATAGAATTTAATCTGGTTTGAATTTGATAAATTGCCGAATCGAAATATATAGGTTATAGCTAATATATTCTTCTTCAAGTCAAAATTTAAAAATAACATTTAAATTAAATATTTTATTAAACCCATATAGTATACCACCAATGAGTATTACAATATTTTTGAATTAATTTCAAAATATTATTTTTAATTGTGTCTCTAATCCACTTATATTAATACATAGTTTTATACATACAATTAAATAAAAAACAACAAGAAGCAAAATTTTGACCCAGACGATTTCATTTAGAGTGCAAAATCGGAAGAAGTAATCAAAAATGCTTTTATTTCATATAATTTTCAATTCACTTACTACAACTACAATGCATTTAATGGAATAGTGCGGTGTAAAACTTAAAATCTTAAAAAATTCTTATATATATGTATATATATATATATATACATATATATACATATAGTTTTTCATTTATTAACTCGATAAGTGAATCAGACCTTAACATAATATTATTATCATTATTATTATGAAAAGAGATAAGTATATAAAAAGTCGTATTATACCATTTCTATGAAATTATAAAATGAACTCATTATTGTAAATATAAGTATGTACATATACTTGTATATAGCGCTTTATAATGTTTTATTTATGTATATAACTACGGAAAATTAAATTAACTATATTATGGTTAAAAGGCAATTTAATTTAACGGTGTCAGAAAGTTTTTCATCGTGAAAATTTTTGCTTTTTCTAAATGATAATAAAGTGAAAAGATTTTTATAAGAAGTAACAAACTACTATAAAATTGAATTGTGTTTATTTTTTTATATAAAAATCATAAATTTAATAATATAGAAATTGTTATATAAGTACATATAAATTATCAAATTATACTAAAATAATGAAAGATTGCATGATTAAAGTTTAAAATAATTAAGATTTCAATGACGAGAAAAATTTTTATTTTTTCTTATTTTTTTTGTGTATAGGAAAAGTTAGAAATAATAATAAGTTCACAATCGATCGAAATTTAATTTTAAGTTTTAAATTTTAATTTTATGTTTCAATAAACTTTGAATTAATTTTGAATTTTAAATATAGTTATAGACTTACGTAATTTTTATATAAATAAGAATGTTTCAAATGCAAGTAAGCTCGCAAAACAATCTTGATATTTTGAGCTCCTAACAAAGAAAGTATTCGAAATTATAATAGACAAAATAAACAAATTATTAAACAAAATAATGAAAAATTGGACTATATAATATTCAAATTTGACCCTTCTGCGGCAAAAATTCATTAAATAGAGGAACGCGATTTAATAAATATTGAAATTTCGGAATATAGTATAACTGAATACTTTTGCTCTCATCCGTCATTCAAATTCAGCAGGAATTTTTCAAAGACAAGTTAGGATGCTTCATATTAACATTTACTATAAGTCAATAATAAACAGAAGGAACCGACGCTGAAAAAAACTCCTCTTCAAGTTTTCAAGGGTAGCACATGAACATAAGAGATGTTTAGAGTTAATTTCTGCCCTATGTATAAAATTTCAGTTGTGGGGCTTGCGAGTTGTCTGTACTTTACTTTTATAACTTTATAGCAGTATAGGTACGAAGGAGATATAGGTACAAATTAGAATGCTAGCAAAATCTTCTTAATCTTTCTTTTTCAACAATTATACATCAAGTATAGGGTTATGTCAAAGTATTTTATTTTTATATGACAAATATTTGCATACATGTATGCTAAGATTTCTAAATAGACATATAAGTATAAAAAATACTATAATTATTTTTCTATATAATTTAATTAATTGCATTTCGAGTTCTTTGTTTTCTTATTTACCTCAAATTATAAATATTAAAATAAATTACATTTTTCTACTGATACCTTTCTTCACCGAACCACCAAGAATGAAAACACGCAAAAATTATATAACTTTTTTTTTTTTACTTTGACGTTTTGGATGGGTAATATTTATTGTAAATTAAGTAATAACTAATTTCCATATTTAAAACTTAAAAGCAATACACTCGCATACTCATGCCGTACTTACACACTGGCATTTTAAAATTGCATTTAATAAAAATCAAATTGAATTTTTGTACTGGGAGCGGAAAAAATTTTCCATTAAGAAATTTCAAAGAAAGTAAGAAAAAAATTAATTTTTTTCTTTTTACTTTGTACCCATGAGTTTATGTATGTAGAGGTACGTATTTATGCATTTGAAAATCATAAAGGATGTTAAGCAACATTTAATTATAATAATTAAATAATATTATTAAAAAAAAACTACAAAAAAAGTTTCTTATGATTTGACGTTTAAGAAAATGTAATTATGTCAACGCATAAAGAGGATTGCAAAAACTTTCGAAATTGCACAATTACCTATTGAATAATATAAAAAAAAAATTTTAGAAAAAAAAAATTGAAAATAATACAAGACATTGTTATGAATTGACTAAGCTGCAACAAAAAAAAAAAATTTGATGTGGTCAACACAAGCAAGCTGGCAATCTTTTGGCTAAAATGTCTAGAAAAATGTAAGTTTGGTCATTAGTAGAGGTTTACTTTTTGGTCTCCGATATTTCTGAAAATTTTGTTGACAAAAATTGTTCAAAGACTAAATTATAAGAATTTACGTTCGGTTTTCGATGAAAGTCTGGTTTTCGAGCTTTAACATTCTCGAAAAATTTGCTAGTTGTTCTAATAACTCTTTAGTTTCTATTTATTTCTTTAGTTGACAAAAATTTAACTACAGCCACTAAAGAAAGCTCAATTTTTGGCACATGAATTGAATTTTTGATTTTAGTAAAACTTGATGAATCATTCCGTTTTAAATAACTTTATGTCATTATGTTAATTATATACTGTCGTATAAAATTTGTGAACCTGGTCAAGGTGCCAGAAACTGGTCAAGGGTTTCTGAAACCGCATATATCTCGACAGTTGATCTATTCATCCCTTTTTCAATGTAAATTTAGATATAAATTTATT